AGCAGTATTACGCATTGGTCCCCAATCTTCATCCTCATTATCACAAGCCACCCCCCTCTCTAAGATTTTTTCTCTAGCGGATAAAAACCCATTTTGTTGGTTCACCTTATCCCAGCCAGCTGGAAGCCCAAGTATCTCGTCCTCCTTGTCAAAATCTGGTTTTTCATCATCCTCTTCACTCCCAAAATTAGGGTTTGCATCATCGTCGTCATAGTAAGCATCTCCAAATGTTTCGTTCATCTTGCTGTCATACTGCTCTGGGTTGAATTCACCTTCGAGATCAACCCCATCTAGCAAAGAAGCCACATCACCTTTGATTCCGGCAGTCTCCTTAATCATTTGAAGTTTCTCATGCATCTCCTTCTTCTTCAAATTCTTCAACCGCTTCAATTCCTCCTTCCTTTCCTCCTTTTCCCTTGCAATCCTCTCTTCCTTTCTCTCCCTCTGTGATTTCCTTGCATTTGATTTTTTTCTAACTGAACCCTCCATTTTCCTTGAGTATCCCAAAACCCTATCACCAGCATTCTCTTCAAACCTAAAATTGAATTCCCTCTCATAATCCTCTTGCTTCTCTAGTGCCTCCTCATCCTCGGAAAGTATCAATTCTTTGTCATCTTCTACCTTCCCGCCCTTATCGTCTTTATGCAACCACATTTTGTTCCGGAAGAAATCCTTCAAGTACCGTTCATTCTCATCTAACTTATCATCCTTCCCAAAATAATCTTCTAGCTTCTTGGAAAACTCCCTATCATCATTATCAGCATCATCATCTTCGTCATCTTCATCTCCTCCGTTCCTTCTCTCCTTGATCTTTATTATTTCATCCCCATCCTGCTCGGTTTCCATCTCCTCCTTCGCCACTGCATCGAAGAACTCCTTCCTGAGCTCCTCTTGCTCCTCTAAATATGTCTTAACCTTCTTCTCACCCTTGTCTTTATCTTCGTGTTCATCTTCGTCAACGAACTCTGGCCCCTCCTCTATCAAATGCTTTGAGACTACATCTTTCAAATACATTGGCCTTTTCTTTGCACCGGCTTCCTTTTCATCATCAGCTTCAGAATCAGATTCGGACTCAGATTCAGACTCAAACAGTTTAGCCTCTTTGTTTTGCAAGATGGGGTCTTTTTTTCTGATCTTGATCAAAGCATCAAAAAACTTGGCATCCTTTTTACTAACTGACTTGCCAAACTCATTGATGTCATCTTCATCCTCAGAACCCTCCGAAGATTCATCTTCATCAACAAGACCCTTCTTCTTCAACTCTTCAAATCTCTGAAGGTCCTCCCTCTTCTTATTGTGTTCGAACCGGCGAGCAAACTCCTCATGAACCTGGATTTCGTTAAGCTTCTCTATATCCTCGTCGTCACTTTCAAATAACTTCATGCCTAATTTTGAATTATAGAAATGAAATCCAAATCAAATACTCCATCATTTGACCATTATATTATCCATATTTAAAAAACGAACATATATGCCGCTTCATGAAAAATACAATGTGATTGTCATTTATGAATATCAAAAATGAGTTGATCAAAAATCAAAATATTTCTGAAAAAAATTGTGAGGGTAGATAAGATTAGTAAGATATGACCATATTTTGATATGATTTCAAAATTCAAATTTGTGATTTTACTTTTTTCTAATTGAAAATAAATCAACCAAAAAATTAAAGCATTGATATTGGTACAATGGCAAAAGGAGATGAGTGTTAGAGAGAACACTACTGAATTTTTTTAAGGAAAAAGCAAGTTTATTAATCAAGAAGAAAAGAAAAAAAGTACAGGGAGGACCAAGCGGAAGCCCCTTGGGAAAAAAGAAAAAGAACACAAAGACAAACAAAACCCCAAACCAAAATCATAAACCAAACCCAATTCATGCCTAAAAGCTCGCATCTTCTTCAGCCTTGGCTTCAAAAAAAACTACCAAGCTTCTTGAGCATCCCGCACTGATATTTTTCCCCCAACAATAGCCAACAGAAATAAGTTTCAACTATACTACTGATCAACTACCTCCTAAAAAAATAGACGCTTCTGGAATTTAAGTCATTGACAAAAATGGCGAATAGCAAAGAGAACACATAGCTAGCCGATTAACCAAACAAAATCATCCAGAAAGATACTCAAGCGAAATTCAGACAAAATTAAAATCAAAATCTGGAAAATCAATATCACCTAAAAAACCCTTGCCCAGAAATTGAAGAGATGAAAATGAGCATAATAGCTATTTACCTAATCTCACTAGACAACGACCGAATGGAGAGACGAAGAAGGCAGGCCAAGAAAACCCTAGGCTATGAAAAGGACGATGAAGATGATGCCGAAGATGTGAGCGAAAGGCGACTGTGAATAATAAGACTAATAATATACCACCACTATGGAAAAAGCTACGGGCTAGGGCATAGGGGACTCAGGGGAGCAATAGGTTTCATAAGTTATTTATAATTATTTAGAGCATGCTACATGTACCTTAAAATTTATATCTGATTTGTACATCAAAAATATGCACCAATATTTTGATACTTCACACTGACACAATATATTGGTGCGTTAACAAAAATTTACACTGACACAAAGTGTTGGTGCGTTAACAAAAATTAGTATTGCACCAACACAAAATGTTGGTGCATCCCCGCGATGTACAAAATGGGGTACAAATAGCATTTTCCTAAATATTTTACTATCTTTTATTTTCAAAATTTATTTATAAAATTTATTTGATTTCGACGGTAGGCGGAATCGTTGGGACAGTACTGTGCTACCACCATACTCTGTTCGTTCTGTTCTCTTCTTCCGGTAGCTGTGAACGTTTGGTATCTAGATACCGGATGGACGAGAGACCCTACTCGAGATCGATAAATGTGCTAAATGCAAAACACGCCACTGCTAGATTTATGATTGAGTGAATGTCACTTATGCTATAGGGTGGTACCGTCGCGTATGCATCACAAACCTGGAATCTAACCATAGGTGTTGACTATCTAATAGAGGTAATATACAAAGAGACTTGAACTTAGAAACGACATCATGTGAATTAACTGAGTATGATCCAGAGTAGGAATGCAACTAACGCATATTCCAACACAACAGATGGGCTAGACGCAATGTAATCAAGGACACTGTCTCAAACATTGGATTCACACCATGACACTGACCTCGATGTGAGGATTTTTCAGGGAAAAGATTCCTTGATTACATCTCAAGGTACATGTAACACCCCAATTTGTATAACCCAAAAGTATAGGAATGGTGAAACAAGATCTATATTTTAAAAACCTTTTCGAATTATTAAATAAAATTCATTAAAAAACTTCAAAATACAATAAGAATGAAAATCATTGAATTTTGATCGATCCTTTATAAAATGTCGGAGATAGAGAAAGACTTTAAACAGTACAAGTACAATGTTGCAGGTCAAATCCAAAACTTCAAATGCAATACTTGTTAAAATCATGCATGTCAACCTGCCATCCTATCATCTTTTCGTCTTGTGGGTGGTTTGCATAATCTATGCTTCAACCTACGTGTTGACAAAAAGACTACACGCTCATCATAAAGTCGAGTGGTACGATAACGCAAGAGATCAACAACATATTTTGTTGGGCGGTGCTCCTTGGACCACACGGCAAGAAGGAGAGCAAATCCCATTCTAAGTGGGATTGCTCTTGATTTGTTTCCTTGTTCATATTTAGTGATTTGTTTCCTTGTAGGAATAGAATTCCTTTTGTGTTTTGGTCTTTATCCTCTCCTATAAATAAAGGAGAAACCCCTTGTACTTGGTAGAACAATTCAATATGCAGAAAGATTTTCCTCTTATTATTTTCTACATGGTATCAGAGCAAGATTCCTAGGGAAAAACCCTAATCTAGACATACGACGGTCCATCACTGTCGTCCGCCGGTTCAAGCCTGTCTTCCGCCGGATCACCGACATCGACCGCCGGACTATCCTCCTCGACCGTCGACATGGCAGAAGTAGAAGAAAATCTCGTCGGCAAGCTTTTCGATGAGGAAGAAAAAATCCCTACGAAGGGAAGTTCTTACGAACTCAAGAACGCATACACACCTGGATTAATTATCACCCAAGTCAAACTAAACGGTGATAATTATGAAGAATGGGCTCGTGCAATGAGAATTGCATTCCGTGCAAAACGGAAAATTGGATTCATCGACGGATCCATCCCTTGTCCAAAAGAAGGAGATGAAAACTATGAAGAATGGTGGATTGTGAATGCCATGTTGGTCTCATGGATTTACAACACAATTGATGGCAGCCTGAGAAACTCCATCACACAGGTAGAAGAAGCAGCAGAACTATGGAAGGACATCCAAGATCGTTTCTCTGTTGCAAACGGTCCTCGAATTCATCAACTAAAGAAGGAACTTGCAAATTGCAAGCAAAACGGTCAGTCCATCGTTACTTACTT